GAAATTTTTTAAACATTATACTGATTTTTATTTTATAGATTTATGAAAACATTAGAAACAATTATTGAATTTCGAAATTATCTGGAATGTTATCAAAATTTTCTACCTGAGCTTTATCAAAAAACATGAGTCGATTTCACTAATGTTTCTAGCAATCAAATTGAAGCATGAATATGCTAAAGGCAACTTTAAACAAAACAACTAAATTGTGCAAGAAAAAGAACAAAACACTTTCAAAAGCTTTTATATAAACCACAATTTTATTAAGATCAGATATTTTGAATGTGGTATACAGTACCGACGTTATTAAATTTCATCTTTCATAGGTCTAGGCTTATTTTGTTATATATCACTTCGATATAGCAGATTGTGACATGATTGTGAATATCAGCAGGCTTTCTTCTTCATAACGTTATAAACAAATTAAACAGTTTTTTTGTGTTTTTTTTTCCATTAAACTGTAGACTATCACGGACAATTTAAAATTTACACATGCTTTTGCCAGGACTAATGCTTTAAAACACACAGCTTTTAATAGTTTCCCTCGACTCTGGAATGCTTTACCTGCTGATAAAAGAAATTTATTACTCTTTAACATTAATAATTTTTTGATGGAACTGAATGATTTTTATAACAACATTTAAGGGATTTGGGAATTTGCTCGATTGCTCTCTCTGTGGTTTATTTTATCTGTACTTTTTATTAGGCCCTTTTAATCTTTTTGTAATTATATTATGCTTTCTTATACCGAACTGCATTTTAATGTTAATAATATTTTTTTTTTAATTATGTATATAGAATTGCGATTTTGTATTTTTGTTGGGCAGGCCTAGGCTACATTTTAAAACGCAAACATCGATGTGAACTAGTCAATCAAGGACCCTAGGGCCTAGGCTAGGCGGCCTACAGATTTACTTTTTAATGTCTAACCCTAGGCCTACCCCTACCCCAGCCTGTATAGGCATAGGCCTACAGTAGGCCTATGTAATAGTTTAATAAAAGCTCCCCGTGGCTTTCTATTAAAAAAAAAAACGTGCCTTGGCCTAGACTAGGCCTACTCTAATTTAAAGGGACAAAGAATTGATACATTACTGAAGTAAATTTATGTAAATTTTCTAGACAAAAACATCAATATTATTATTGAAAATTAGGTAGGCCTAGCCTAGGCCAAACCTCCCAAATACGTGTACACTAGGATGGGTGATAAAGGTCGAAAAAAAATTAGGCTTATGTTAAAATAAACATGCATTATCGTAAAGGTAGAAATCAAGTTATGCCTATGGGGCCTACGCCGAGATGTACGGTAGTGCATCAAGAGAGAGGGAAAGTACGCCCCCCCCCCCTACTAAAAACAGGGGGTGGGCCTAGGATAGGCACTTCGCGCCAATTTCTTACCACTCGGTATTCAAAAGCCTACGAATGCCTACGAAAATGTCTTCGTCTGTATTTGTAGGTTCTTCTTCTCTATATTCTGGTTCAAATAAATAAGCGTTTGTACCAACGTTATCCTCTTCGTTTTCATTTACATCCTCTTCGAACGACGACGAAGACCAGTCTAAATTTAAACTTAATTCACTATCTGAATTTCCCTCCGCCATCGCGTTGATTGCATTCGTTGTATGAGAGCAAGAAGTTTGTGAATGGCAACGTCTTGGGGGCGTGATGACGTATTAACTTGACCTTGGCGATTTTTAAGATTTGGCAAAATCGAAAAATTGAGCATTTTTTAAAGTTGTTTTTAATGAGCAAGATAGTTCATTTAAGGTCTTCATTAAGTGCGATTTATTAATCATTAGTATGTACTTCATCATTTTCTTATGATATAAATCATTACAGTTCAACTTGTCAGACGGTCTTTAATGGAATATGTTGTGCAGGTGTTGTCTCCACACTATCAGATGGACATCAATGCCTTGAAAAATGTCCAAAATCGTGCTACGAAACTTGTTCCTAACCTTCGGGATCTAACTGCAAAGGATAGGTTTACCTCTGTCTCTTATACACATCTAGATGTGTATAAGAGACAGGTCATAATCAATAAGAGAGGATATTAGGGCCTATAATGTGTGCGTTCATTTTTATAACATTAGAAAGGCACATGTAATGTTTATTATATTATGTTATTTTAAAATCATACTAAAGCGAAAAACTATTATTTTAACTATCTATTCATTTAAAATTATTATTTTAACGACTACTATAGAAACACAACCTAACTGTAGGCTAGCGCAACTTGCAAACACATTAAAAAAGAACAACAAACAACAAAAAATTACCTTCTCTTCTAACGACTCCGCCCACTATGGGAC